AGAGCCAGTCACAGCCTTGGTTCCTGCAGTGGGAACCAGGGAGTGAAGCAGGGATGGAACAAGGGACTGAGGAGTGGCGCTGGATGGATCCCCACTGCTGCTGAATGAGGCTTTGACCTCCAGCAAGGGCAGCTCTGCTGCCCTCAGTACCTGGAGACACATCACATACCCGGAGTCACGGGATCACGGAATCACTGGTGTTGGAAAAGGCCCCGAGACCATCAAATCCAGCAATTCCCACCACTAACCCCTGTCCCCGTGTGCCACATCCACACGTACCCAGCTGGAGCCAGTGCCACTTCCAGTTCCTGATCCTTTCTGGAGCAGCTCGAGGTGCAGAGTGAGAAGATCCCTGGCAGCTCATTACTGACAAATCAATAATTAGCTATGAAGGAAGATGAAGAGCTAGTCCCTGGGTCCGTGGAGAGTAGGGTCTGCCCCACACACACTGGGATTTACTGAGCTTGCCAGGAGGTTTGGAGGGATCTCGGGAGCGTGGGAATGCCCTGGTGCATCAGCTGAGTGCTGCACAGCCAGAGCTCTGCCTTTTTCAATTACATCTTGCCAGCAGATGATGAAATCCTTTAATCTCGGCGCAGCGAAGCTGAGCTGCTGCTTTACAGACACTGCTCACTCCACATCTGCTGGAAACCACGTCCAAGATAAAAGCCTGGAGCCTCCCACACAGCTGCCAGCCGCCCCTTTCCCCCCTCTCAGCTCCTGTGTGAGATGATGGCAGAGGTGGAAGAGGGCACAGCCCGGAGCTGTGGGACCTTGGCAAGCAGACACGGAGTTCCCAAAGTCACACAGGAGCCAGGACACGGCTTGGGGGCCACAGACCGGGGGCACTGGGCATGTGTGGGCTCCCAGCCTGCAGGGCCTGAAGCCAGCAGGGCTGCAGCTCCTTCCAGCCCCGGAGTGACTGGGGCACATTGCTGCTAAGCCATGCAGCCTGCATCCCAGAGGGATTCACCCAGTGGGATTCACCCAGTGGGATTCACCCAGCGGGATTCACCCAGCGGGATTCACCCAGCCCGCATCCCAGCAGAATTCACCCAGCGGGATTCACCCAGCCTGCATCCCAGAGGGATTCACCCAGCAGGATTCACCCAGTGGGATTCACCCAGCGGGATTCACCCAGCGGGATTCACCCAGCCTGCATCCCAGCGGGATTCACCCAGCAGGATTCACCCAGCGGGATTCACCCAGCCTGCGTCCCAGCAGGATTCACCCAGCGGGATTCACCCAGCCTGCATCCCAGAGGGATTCACCCAGCGGGATTCACCCAGCGGGATTCACCCAGCGGGATTCACCCAGTGGGATTCACCCAGCCTGCATCCCAGAGGGATTCACCCAGCAGGATTCACCCGGCGGGATTCACCCAGCGGGATTCACCCAGCCCGCATCCCAGCAGGATTCACCCGGTGGGATTCACCCGGTGGGATTCACCCGGCGGGATTCACCCAGTGGGATTCACCCAGTGGGATTCACCCAGTGGGATTCACCCAGCCCGCATCCCAGCGGGATTCACCCAGCCTGCGTCCCAGCGGGATTCACCCAGCGGGATTCACCCAGCCCGTGTCCCAGCAGGATTCACCCGGCGGGATTCACCCAGCCCGCGTTCCAGCGGGATTCACCCAGCCTTCATCCCAGCAGGATTCACCCAGCCTGCGTCCCAGCGGGATTCACCCAGCGGGATTCACCCAGCGGGATTCACCCGGCCCGCATCCCAGCAGGATTCACCCAGCGGGATTCACCCAGCGGGATTCACCCAGCGGGATTCACCCAGCCTGCGTCCCAGCAGGATTCACCCAGTGGGATTCACCCGGTGGGATACACCCAGCCTGCGTCCCAGCGGGATTCACCCAGCAGGATTCACCCAGTGGGATTCACCCAGCCTGCGTCCCAGCGGGATTCACCCAGCGGGATTCACCCAGCGGGATTCACCCAGCGGGATTCACCCAGCCCGCATCCCAGCAGAATTCACCCAGCGGGATTCACCCAGCCTGCATCCCAGTGGGATTCACTCAGTGGGATTCACCCAGCGGGATTCACCCAGCCCGCGTCCCAGCAGGATTCACCCAGTGGGATTCACCCAGCGGGATTCACCCAGCCTGTGTCCCAGCAGGATTCACCCAGCAGGATTCACCCAGCCCGTGTCCCAGCGGGATTCATCTGCTGCTGGGACCACATCTTCTCCCGGGGGCAGCCCGAGGGCCTGCAGGAGAGGCAGCATTTGCAGCAGCTCGCATTCCTGTGTCCCTTTGGAAAGGAGACACAGCTCATCCCTCCCGCGGCTGTTTACACATCCGGGGGTCATGTGGAATGCCGTGCCTGGGCTTGGGGAGGTGTTGGAGCTCTGCACCCCGAGCTGGCTCCTGTTCCAGCCCTGTCGTCTAATTATAGGGGAGTCAGCTGCTGGCAAGCTGATCCATCCTAAATCCAGGCTTAGTGTGAGCTGCGCTGCCCCTCCAGCTCCCCCACTCTGGATATGGGGTGAGCCTTGCACTGGAGTGATTCTCGTCCTGCCTTCCCGTGTGGCCGTGGGAGCTCCCCTTTCCTGTGCTCCCCTGGGCAGCCCTGCTCGGTTCACAGTCTGAAAAACCACAAAACCTCTGATCTCAGCCCAAAAGGATGGCTGGAGCCCGAGGCCCTGCTGCTTCCCAAGCTCCTCGGCAGCAATCTGGCACATGGAGATGGGGAGGGCAGGAGGGAAGCCAGGAGCATGGGGAGGATGAGGAGTGCCACAAACAGCTGAGCTGAACCGCAGGACTGCCACAGAGGAGGGAAATGGGAAATAAACCCACTGGATCTCTGGGAATGCTGGCAAGCTGGTTTTGAGGGAAAGCAGCCAAATGCCTGCCAGACCCTTCCCCCATGTAGAAGCCAAGAGAGTGAGAGGGTGAAGGGTCATTGGTGTGGGAAAAGGAGCTGCAGCCCAAGCTGGGAACATCCCACTGGACATGTCTTTTTCCCACCAGGGAGGACAGGGTTTTCTCCAGGGCTGCTCCAGCCAACACCGCTACCAGCTGGCCAAACACCAAGAAAAAGCCTAAGGAATGTCAATCCAGCACTGCCAACATAGAGGCTGATTTTCCTGTTCCCAACTTGTGTGCTTCCATCTGCCCCCACAGAGGGAAGAGGTCCTCCCTGGGGACAGGGGTGACCCCTGTGACCCTGCCAAGAGAGGCAGCACTCTGACCAGAGGATGTTCATGAGCTCCAGCACAATCTCCTGGTGACAGCGAAGGTGAGAAGGTTTTGGCAGCCATGGAGTGCTCCTGTTACCACCTTGGTTTAGACAAAGTGAAGGTGCTCCGGGCAGTGAGCAGCAGCAGGACCTGGGAATGAGGGGTTACACCTGGACCTGGGTGGAGGCTGCAGTGAGATCAGCTCTGAGACACCCTCAGAGGGGGCTTTGGGAGGGGGGAGCTGGTCCCCAGTCCTGCACCAGGAGCAGCCCAAGGGCTGTGGGTGCCTCAGGGGAAGCTGCTGCACCAGGACACGTGGGGCAGATGCTGGTGTGTCCCTTTATCAGTGTCCCCTTTGTTAGCCTTTCCCCTGGAATGCTGCAGGGATGGTGGTGCTGAAGGAGATGGGAGAGAGTCCCCTGGGTGGGAGAGTATCACCCCTCCCTCCCACATCTGGGCATCCCCTGCCTCCCACATCTGCCTTGCTCTGGCAGCCAGGGAATGCCAAGAGGCTGGAGCTGACCATGGAAAGGAGGTCCTGAGGTCTCATGCCACCCTCACTGCCAGCCAAGGGTGTCAAGTGTCCCAGTGACTACGGGGTACATGGGGCCACAGCCCCCCCCAGATCCCCCCAGTCATCCACAAGAGCTGGGAACTGGGGTGGCCACAGTACCCAGGGATGGCTGCGGTGTCCCAGAGGTGACTGTGCTGTCCAGGGATACCCTTGGTGGCCCAGGTCTGGCACTAGGCTCTCAAAAGTGGCCATGGTGTCCCAATGTTGGCTGTGGTGTCCCAGGGATGGCTGCAGTACCCAAAGCCAACCAGATTTCCAGAGGCTGGGTACTCTCAGGGTATCGGGGCTGTCCTGGCAGCAGCCACAATGCCCAAGGGATGGCTGGGATGTCCCAGGGTGGCTGTAGGATGTGGGAACCCCTGATGGGGAGGAACAGGAAAACCAAGGTCAGGAACCGGGATACCCCAGCCCTGCTGAAGCACTTTGGGACAGATGCAGGCCCCGAATGCCACCCCACCCTATGTGGCACCCACACTGTGTCCCCTGCCCCAGCCAGCTCAGTGTCAGCCCTGGCTCAGGATCTAGCAACCCACTCCTGCAGGTGCTCAGTTCTCACGGGCCATCCCGTGACAACGGCTGCACTGGGATGTCACCAGGACCCTCCATAGACACCATGTCCCCACACAAACCA